ATCAGACTTCTCCACACACTTGGGGAAATGACACCACTCCTAGAAAAAAAAAAATGTTAGAAGTGCTCTCACAAGTTCTTTGTGGTGAAAACCCAAAATGTGAAAGGGAGACAACATTGCTGTCCCCCCTGCTCTGTGGGAAAACTCTTAAATAAAAGTGAAGGTATTGTCATCTGGCAGCATCACCAAAGTCCATGAAGCTGAGGCAATCAGAGGGGTGTTTTTGACTGGCCACTTGTTCTTCCTTACAAATCACAGGATCCCAGAATGGTTTGAGTTGGAAGGGACCTTAAAAATCATCCAGTTCCAACCCCCCTGCCACGGGCAGGGATACCTTCCACCAGCCCAGGTTGCTCAGAGCCCCATCCAACCTGGCCTTGGACACTTCCAGGGATGGGGCAGCCACAGCTTCTCTGGGCAAACCTGTGCCAGGGCCTGCCCACCCTCACAGGGAAGGATTTCTTCCTAATATCCAATCTAAGCCTACTCTCTTATCATGCAGTGTCTCAGAATCACTTGCCTTTTTTTTTTTTCTTTTTTTTTTTTTCTTTCCTCTCTCAATTCCATCCACTGTTCACAACAAAAAGTTGGCATCCAGCCACTCTGGACAATATGTGCTTCTTACCCAGCTCGAGGGGTGAGACTGTGACAAACCTGCTCAGCCAAGAGGAGCGTGTGTAAAACATGAGCAATGCTCAGCCTCTTCTGTGGCCCAGCTGTGTTGACTTCTTGACAAAGACAAAAATCCCCTCTGCCAAGTTCGTGGGGGTGGAAGAAAAGGTCAGATGACTCCTTGGCCTTCAGTGCTTCTGTCACTGCAGAAGGGTAAGTCCTGCAAGATCCACTCAGACCTGCCCGTCTGAAGAGCTGTAGAGCCTTTGCTATGTTTTGTGCTTTGTTAGATGGTCAGATCTCTTTTCCAGCTTGAAAACTGGAGAAAACTCCTTCTCATCTAATCCCTTTTTCCCGGTGTTTGCCCCAGACTTGTCCATTACTGAAAAAAAAAAAAAAAAGGTTGCACCATCCTAAGGTTCTCTGAACTTCAGAAGTAATAATACCTCTTTCTGCGGTGTTTACACTGTGAATTCTACTCTTTCCTGGTACTTTCAAGCATCCCTCACCCCATATAACATATTGAACTTTTACCTGCAACTATCCCTTGAACTTTCTTCTCTTTTCATTAACCTGCTTCTGCAAACAGTAGTGCCTGGGCCTGATTGCAGCACTGATCACACTGCAGCCCTCAGCAAAGGCTCTGTTACCTCTCTTGTGTGAGGCATTTCCATGATCCCCAGCAGACTGGCTCTTCTACACCTTCTTCTGTACCTCAGGTAGTTTTTAGCACAGTTCTTCCCATGCAGTCCAGAGAAAAGAAGAAAAGCAGCTCTAGCCACTATGTAGTAGTGCTGGAATCAGATTTGCTCTATCAGTAGGTTTTACAAGGTAAACACAGAACTTTCCCCTGGTCTGAGAGGAATGTGTGAGGGGTTAAAGTCCAGAGTCAGCTTTGAAAGGTGACAGAAGCACAAAAAAAAACAGTCCCAAAGAAGATGTTAAGGGGTCATACAGTTCATCACAACGTGCCTGGGCAGGATCAATTTACCAATGAGTCCTAGGAAGGGGTTGGCTCACCTGTTCTCTGAGTTTCTCGGTGATAATAAATCCACAGCCATCCAAGGCAGCCTATTTGTATTTGACTGTGCTAGTGGTGGAAAGCTCACCCCACTACCCAACTTAAATCCCCTCACTGCCAATTAAGTGCAAAATTCTGTTTGCAGCTCCCTGCTTTGCAGACTCTGCCGTGATTTTTCACAGCCTTTTGAGATGCTGTGGCTCTTGTGTAGGAGCCACAACTTGCCCCGCTCTGGGTGCTGCTCAGGTGCCAGGCAGGAGTGAGATTTAACTTCCCAGAGAGTTAACAAGCTAGCAGCAAAGAACAAAGGAAATGAGAATCAGCACGAAACAAAGGTCATGAGTTTCAGGAGATCTGCACCCTGACAGCATCAGAGTATTGTATTTGCTGACGCACCTCCCGGCCACCCACACGCAACAGCTACACCTTCTACCCAAGGGCAAGCCACGGATCACTGGTGTCCTTACCAGCAGTTAAAAATATAGGGGCACAGTGACTGCAGCCTGTATTTTTAGGGAAATATTTGGGGAGGAACACGGCCGTGACGCAAGTCAGCGATGCAGGATTGACCCCAGCAGTCAAAACTCCACCACACGGGAACTTTTTCACTCACCTCAGCACTGAACTTCAATCCCAGAAATCGGCTTTTTATCATCTGCAGTGTCAGGATACGCACTCCCTGCCCTTTAGATTGTCTTTAGGAATAAGAATAGGTTATTTTCTTTCTAATAAGGGGTTGTGCTGGCTGTAACAAGCTTCACTCTACTTCCCTCACTCAGGGTATTGATTACATGCCAAAGCCACTTCCTCCTCTCCGTGAATCAGCTGAGAAATGGCAGCACTGACAATGAGTGCTCCATGTACAGCTCATCATCCTGAAGTGCTGCAGTTTTTCAGTGTGTTATGATCCATAACCCAATTACAGGCCACTTCATTTTCCAGGAGTACCAGCTCACATGTGCCCATACACATCCACATTCATCTTGTGAGAGCAAACACTCTCCTTTTTGAAATACCAAAGCGACTTGCAGTCACTGGTCATAGTAAAAATAAATTATTATAGAGCCCTAAGTCACAGAGAATTTAAGGGCAAAATAAAAACCTTTTGGAAAAAATCATGGAAATGAAATTTGGGATGGGGTTCGTCTCACCTGATGTTGTCTGTGCAAAACGTGGTTTGGAGGCAGTGAAGACACACAGGTACCTCCAGAGGTGCCACTGAGACATCTGATGGTACAGCACTGAAACCATTTAATTTAAGATGATGCTGTCAAGATCCTGCATTTGGTCTTGAGCTAACATTAACCTGACCCCACCATAACCCAGTTCAGGTTTTGACTTGTCCAGTTCAGCTCCCTGGTCCCTCCAGGCACCCTCAAATAAACCCCAGTCTCTACAAGGAGGCCAGTGGGACTCTGGGAATACAGCCAGGTTTGGAAGAGAGAGAGAGAGAGAGACTCTGGCAACACCAACCCAGGGCAGCTCAGACTTTGCAAAGTGGTCACAAGAGAAGAAAAGCTGAAGTTGCTTTCTTGCAGCGTGGTAACACTATCAACCTTTCTCCACACCTCCCATTCCCATCCTCTTCCTCCCCGGTTGCAACAGGAGGGGCTGAGCTCGTTGTCTTCCCAGTTTGTTTTGCTTTGCCTTGTCTCATTCCAGTGGCAGGAAGAGAAGTGTTTATTTTCAGTGCCAAACACATTCGGGTTTTTCTGTCACAAGGAGAACTCTCATGAAGAGAATGTACTTCACAGTGACTGATGCCAAAGGCAGAGGGTTAATTTTCACAGGCTCAGCTGAATGTTTTGATTCTGGTCCTGTGGTCTGTGCATAGAGAGAAAGGTCTAAAGTCACTCCAGGAGGGAATAGGTGAGTAGCTTTACCTTTTCCAAGTCTCTGAATGTTAAATGTCTCCTGGATGCAATGCACAGTTCCCCTTCTAAGGCTAAGGGTTAAACACCGTCAAGAAATGTCTCTGATCTGTCAGAGCAAGAGGAAAAGAGCAGGGAAAATACATGTTTCACACTGAAATAGATGCAAGTAGAATCCTCATTGCTGGCTAGGATGCACCATGGCATGGCCTTTTAAAAGGATAGAGGTGAAACAGCAGCTCCCAGCCATCACAAGAGCTGCTTGAGACCAAAACCTGAACTTTTTTCTTGTTCCTTGTGTCTACACCAGAGCGAAATGCTAGTTCTGTATATTCAATGAACCATGAGCAGAGAACAGAGTGATATTCCTCCTAAAAACCCGATCAGCAGCGACACCTCCACTGCCAGTGTTCTTCAGAGCCCTCCCTCAGGCTCCACAGACATCCAGAGCAAGTGTTTGTCACACGTTATGGGCCCACCTGAATTTGTTGTTCCACCACAGGCTGGCCCTGTTTGTGAGGCTGCTGCAGGAAAATTCTAAGCAGCCAATTTCTGACTCCCTCTTTGCTTTGCTTTGCCCTCCCCTTCTGCTTCCATCTCCTCTTTTACAGGGGAAAAAAAGGCAGGAGGACAGATGTGAAAACCCTGGTGATGGAGCAAGCAAGGCCAGGCATCAAGCATGATAAGCTCTTTGCCCGAGGACCAAACCCACTGTCCATGACTGCAGTGAGTCCAACCATCACTCAGAAATAGTTTATGGAAGTGGCTTCTCTAATCCTTGCCTCTTTTCTGTTTACTGCTCCACTGTTTGACCTATTCAAGCCCGTGGTCTGGGCTTTTCCTCCAACCAGTCCATGAGACAGAAAGGCATCCATGACGATTAACAGTTCAGGGTTGGGTTCTGTTTGTTTGTTTGTTTGTGGGGTTTGTTTGTTTGTTTTTTAACTCAGCTTTGTATTTTCGCTTGTGTGTCAGAAAAACAGATGCAAGAGATGTTTAGAGAATCAAACAAGAGGCTGCTTCCTCGAAATGTATGCCAGGAATAACCAGGACACTGGATAAGTCACTTTTTTGGGGGATGCTGGCACGTTATGAGTGGAGAGTAACTTACCAACTTTTAGCTCCCACAACAGAGAGTAATCTGATATAAATTAGATTATCCTGGCTAGACTCTCATCATCCATATTAATACCTGCTCTGTCTGTGATTATTGATCATCCAGCAGGAAGGTGATGTGCTGCAGATGCACAGGGCTGACGTATCCAGAAGGTATTCACCTGGTTAATGGGGTGCATCTCCAAGTGTATCCGTCTTTCAATCATTTCAGTCATGACTTCCTGCAAGACTACAGGTTTCCCTCAGGAGTCATCAGACCTTCTACTTCTCCATCTACAGGGCTGACAAGAGATCCCTTCAGACTCCCCCGCCCTGCCACAAAAAGGGGAGGGCCCCTGCATTCCAAAGGTTTAAAAAGGGACCCCTGAACATGTAGGAGATCTTGTGACACGTTATCCCGAGAAAAGAAGACCGAACATTTGCTGCTGAGATAAGTATGAAGGTAAGTGAGACTTTTCTTGGTGTGTAGGTAACATTTAGCTTGCAATTTATGTTGGGTTTTTTTTCATGTGAGTGCAATATTTAGGAACTGCAGAGGGGCTTCATGATTTTACCTTAAAAGTAACCTGAGGCAAATATATACATACATCTATTTAGTGTTCTTGAAACAACTGCATTAAGAACATAACCAGGATGAAATAAAACGCTGTGAATCCAGCCAGGATTAGATGCTCCCTGTTGCCCATCACTGTTCTCAGCACATGGTCTGTGAGCACAAGCAGAGATACAACTTGTTCACAGAGGATTCATGCTCAGTGCTTTCATTTGCATGTGCTGCATCAGTGGACAGGCTCCAAGAACCGAAAAAAGCCTGTCTTGTGACATGTCTTGTAATCGTGGTTGATGTTAATAGGATGATAAGTTTAAAAACTCCTTTTTGAACTCGAGGAAGTAGTGATTCGGTCTCCTGGTTGGCTGGCTAGTTTGTTTGGAATGACACATTTGCTTGTTGTCTAAGGTGTGGTAAAATCAAGGTCGACCTTATACCATCTTTCCCCTTAGTTTGGGCATTATTCTCACTTTTGGAGGATCTGATGTCTTTGCAAATAAGGAGCGCAAAAGGTACTTGCCTTGATGGCAGTTCTCACCTTTGCAATGAATTTGACTGGAGAGAATAAAGTGTGTTTGTTTTAACATCCAGCCTCTGATCAGACCAGCGTGCACTGAAACACCCACTGAGCAAGAGGGGGGGTTTTGGCAGCGAGGCAGCAACGAAGGGAAGCACCCTCACATTTAGGTGGGAAGGTCTGAGAGTCTTTTCCTGTGCCTTGTTGGCTCTTTGTTGTGCACAGGGGCTGCATAAACTGACAGCATCTGGGCTGGCCCTGCTCCTGGCAGCATCCTTCGTCGTGTTCTCCTGGAGTGCCCCTCAGGTGAGCTGCTCGGGCTGGACCTGCCTCCCCCACGGAGCTCAGAGGTTGGTGCCACCAGGTATTTGTACTAATTAGCGATACCATGTGATGCTGACATGTCTCTTTTCTCTTTCTGTTCTGTGCAAAGGCTCATTTCCAAAGGAGAAACTGGACCCCTCAGGCCATGCTCTATTTGAAGGGTGCACGTAAGTCCCCAGCTCTTTCTGTTCTGAGCAGATGTTGGCTCCACACGAGCAGTAAATCCTGAGGATGCTGTGGAGGTAGAAGCTCTGAGGACTGCAGGGATGTGCTAATTAGTTATTTCTTCTTGTCTCTGAAACAGTGGCATTGGCAATATTATTATTATTATTATTATTTAAAGAAATCGAACTGAAGAAAGCCAGTGTTGGAAGAAGAAAAGCGAAAGAAAGTGGCTGAAAACGTGCAGAGTTTGAAACTTCATTGTAAAACCTATTAGAAAAGCAGTTTACTTACCTGAAATTATCCTGAAGGGGGCTTAAGACATAGTGGATATAGTTATTATTCCTTTATTCCCATTCAGGCTTTATTAAAACAGTTTCTCAAGCACTAGGAGAGCACACATTCCTATTTCAAGGATCTTTGCATCAGAGCTGGTATAAAGACCACAAGCAACCTCTTCTAAGAGGAACTTAGATCAATATTGTGATTTTAAGGTGGTGTAAATGACATTTTGAGTTTCTGCTGTTAGTCCACAGTTAAAGTACAATTGAATATAAATATAAAATTAGAAGCTTAAGAGAGATTTTTGTCCTTCGATTCAAACCCACAAAAGTCAATGGAAATATTAATATTTTTAATAAATGATACTCTGAATTGTTAATTAATTAGGTAATTAAATTAATTAACTAGCTAATTAGTTAATTTAATTAAAAGCTAATAGGCAGGGTAGGTATTAAGAGAGCAAGAAAAATAGCTTCCTTGAAATTAGAAAAAAAAAATGAAGGTCATAATCCTAGAAGAAATGCAAAAGGGAGACAACACAAACAATGGCAACACAAAATAAATATAGGCTTCAAACATAAACATAACCGAAAGAAGTTCTAGTGACATTAATTTCTATTCATAAAAAAAGAACCCCTTTTTTGTTTGTTTTTATTTTCTAATTATCTCAACTGAACAATGCACCGTGTTACTTCTGTGCCAAGCTTTGCATTATTCTTACTGTTGCAAGAAAGAAATGTGACTTTGTTAGTTTGGGGTGAGGTTTTTTTCATTTTTTAAAGAGAAATATCACTGTAAATGGCAGTACTTTATAGTCCAACAAAGAGATTGAAGGCTCTTGACCACAGAGCAGGAAAGAGGAGGAAAATATGGTAAATCACTCCCTGTGTAGAGTTCCTACAGCAGGTTAATACAAGAAAGAAAAGTGCTGAAACACCAGTTCTATGGAATAAAGGATGTTCTAGCCCAGGATGGGCTAATCTTGATTTGGAAAGACCCTGAGATGGACCTACATCTCCCACCTTATGTTTGCAGAAGTTCTGCCGCAATTCTGTATTTCGAAATGAGCGCTTTAGGGACTGTACAGGAGGAATTCCCACACACTGGGGAGGTTGATTTTAACCCTTCTCCCACTGCTTTTGCAGAGGGACGTCGGTTCATCCCAGAGGAGAGCCAGAGGAAGGACCTGTATGACCGGCTGCAGCTCGGTAAGTGCACGTGCACAGGGGCAGGTGGCACACCAGTCTTTCCACAGGTTATGGGAGAAATCTGTGGGATTTGTTTTCCTGGAATCCTAGCCAAGGCAGCAATGAAACCCCTTTCTGTTAGTTCCTTCACTCCAAAAAGCCCATGACAAAGTGGCTTTCCATTCTTGTGCACCCGTGTGACTTTATTTACATAATTTCCAGACTGACCTGGCTGTTCAGTGGGATTCTCATCAGTATTTCTGACTTGCTTTCTCCACTGGGATAAAATCAAGTCAAGTTATTAATTGTGCTGAACTGAAGTATTACAAAAGTAGATAACATTAACCCCTGCTAGGGCAATGTTTCTGGAGGAAACAGGTTGTTGTAGCAAAGTAAGGAACATATAAAAAAAAATAAAAAATAAAAGAGACTTTGAAATAACCTCCCTCCTAGAAAGATTGCTAAATATCTTCTGTGTTATTTATCAGGCTCGGCAGAGAATATTACAGAGCAAAGGAAATAACAATATTTTCTTCTATTTGTGTCTCTAGTTACATAAATAATAATAAAACAAAACAACAGAGTAAAGAAATGCCCTCAGGCACTAACCAACCACGCATCTGTGATTTTATAATTCTAGAGACACGAAGCCAAAACACAAATCCTTTATCCCTTTCTGAAGCTGCTGCACTGCTCCTTAGTTCCTTACAGAAAGCAAAAGAAGGTAAATGCATGTTTTGTCTTACTCTGGCTTTTTTTGAAAAAGGATTTTTTCAGCATTTCATTTACTAACATCTTAGTAAATTGATCTAGTCTGAACTGAGACAGCGTTCTACAGAGTGCACTGTGTTACAAGCCCAGGAGTTTGCCCAAATTATGCTCTTCCCCTCTTTGGTTCAGGACAGGGAGGGAGAAAAAGTGGCTAAAGCCACCTGGCTGTGAGTTCCTTATTCAAGCTATTAATTGCTTACATCCTGACAAGAAAAAAAAAAAAAAAAGGCTTTATTTAAATTAGGAAATGTGAAGCAAACCCTTAGTAAAATACAAGGTGATTTTGTACCTTTCACACCTTTCCTGAAATGCCAAGAGGGTGTGAGAAACACCTCACAGAATTTACCTGGTGTATGGACAGATGTGCTGGGACCACTCCTGTCTTTGCCACATCCTAAAATCTCCCACTGTGCCTCACAGTAGTGTTGGGGGTCCAAGCTCAGCTGTGCCTCCCCTGTCCTGGCCTAACTACACTAACAAAAAGAAAATTCAGTGGCATTTTGCAAGGAGAGAGAGGCAAACCTAAACATTAGCATTGTGCTTTGGACAAAATACATGAGCAGTTCTAAAGATAAAACAGTCAAAGTGTCATTTGTATTCCAGCAAAAAGAGAAAATCCTCTGAAGCTGGATTTTTATAAATTTTAGTGGTATTTTCCTGAATGTTGGTGCTGTTCCAAAGAGATGGTGGACAGCAACAACCTCCTGAGGGAAAAGGTGATTTATCTGAGAGAGCTCAGCAGAACTGGCAGCCCTTTTTGAAAAAAAATACTATGTGGAATAACATTACCATCATTGAGCAGGGAATAATAAGATATTCGAATTTGGGCAAGCCATGAACTTTCAGGAGATAATTTTCAGGTGATTTTAGAGTCCTCTTGGCTGAGGGCAATGTGCAAATAAAGAAAAAATACCTTATTTTCGTCTATATGAAAAATTTTTGCCCTGTACTAAAAGACACCTCTGGAGGGGGTTTGTATCTTTGCTCTTCAGCAAGCAGAAAAATTCCTACATTTAAAGTGAGAGAAGACATCACCATTTCTAGAGATGCCTTAATATGACTAAGAAGTCACATTACACTAGGTCTGTGCTTGAGGCACATCTATCTCCTGAAAAATTTGCCTGGCTGAACTTACCTTCATCCACAACTTACTTTTCCCCCCCTTTGTGTTTTGTCTTTACAGCTGAAGAGGAGAACACTGATCATCCTGGCTACTTGACAGACAACCTATCAAACTGGTGAAATATTTCAAATTTCTTTAGCATTTGTATTGCATCGACCTCGAAAGCATAACTTGTGTGAGCAGAGTGTTTCATCCATTCTCACTTAAGTTCACCAAGGGTGACATGTAATTTGCATTGCAAAATTCTGAATGCAAAGGGGTTAAAAGGCACAAGTTCAGGTAAGGGGAAGCGTATGTAAAGTTCCTGCTTTCCTTTTGTATGTCACACCCAAAATTTAAAATACACCAAAATACCTGAAAAGAGGATTAAAATGGTCTCTTTTTTTGGACAACTCCTTCATTAAAAACAGTTTTTCAGTTGTCACTGGGGAACCTTTTGCCACCTTCCACCCAGCTTTTTTAACTTTCACAAGGACAGATTCTTTTACCACTTCACTGCTGGCCCTGTAAGGTGCTGATGGCCAATAAATTCAGTGAGATATTAAAGAAGTCCAGCTATTTTTGGCTGCAGGTATCAGTCACCAGAGGGAATGGGCAGCAGCACCTCCTGCCCCAGTTACACACATGCAGAAATGTGAATAATTCTACCGAGCAAGTCCCACTACATAAAGACACTATGGGGACTTTTACACTGTCAGGGCATCATTAATGACTGCATAGTTATTGTGCTTTTTTGTTCCTGCTTTTTGAGAACTGGAATTGTGCGTAACTCTGTTAATTATCATTCCATGCTGATAAGGATGTATCTAGCATTATCCACGTCATTTTGTGCTCTTACTGGAAAGCCCTCTGTAGTTCTCATGGTAATTAAAAAAGTAGCCACATGATTTTTGCGTCCAAGCAACTATGTTTTATTTGTTTGACCTTTAACCCTAGTCATGCCCTTCATCTTTGAACACAGCTTTCCTCCAGTCTTTCTCAGGACACTGCTAATTAACTTGGTTAACTCACACTAACAATAATTCTGCTTCTCCTCAACACAAAGAGAGGCAGCTGAAGGAACAGAGGAATTCATTTCTATCACGGGGTTAGAGGCATTCTCAGTAACTGTTTATAATCTGTATTATTTTATGGAGGAAACATAACTGGAGAAATCAACATGCCCAAGTTTGCTCATTTTTTAAGCACTAATGTATCTTTCAATATGTTGTGTGACAGAATACATTCCTGATGAACTTCACCTGAAGATCAATGGTATCCCCACCAGAATCCTTTCATTAATTTAACTGCCCTTTGTTTCAAGAAATAATGTCAGGTTTCTGGATTTATTTTTTTTAAGAGAACATCATTAACTTTCAGTCAATATGCCCTTTGAATGCTCTTTCACTGGGACTCTCAGCCATTACATTCTTTGGCTCTGCAAGGGAACCCTGATTAAAAGCACTTCATGGAAGAAACTCACAAAGTGCAGTTTTTCCATTTAGTAAACTTTATGAAGGAAAATATTGGCAGCATCTTGGCTTTCACCACTCTCATATGAAAAACTGTTGTTTTAATTATTTTTAAACAGCTAAAAAATAGTGACTCCTTTTAAATCCAAATAATTTTGCCATAAAAGCCTGAGCCTACTTCTGAGAATAGTTATTCTTTCAGGTATCCAAACCAGATTAAGATCGAAAATCCAATTTGATTTTAGGTGGCCAAAAACACAAATAGGCACATTGTCACTTTTATTCCATATGGCCTAAAATAAGAAGCATGTCATTAAATGATGGTTAAGTGTTTGAAAGGGAGGTGTCTAATCAAAGTTGGACATTTGGAGTTCCCCTGGGGTTGGCAGTGAAGGCACCTCCAAAGGTTACATCCTCCTACCTGCTGAAGAACAGGCTGAGTCAACTCCTGGAAACGCCTTTTCTTGAACAGCATGAGAAATTCTGGATGGCTCCTTCTTGACATCTTCATGTTAAGATCTGCTTCTGAAGAGCATTTTCAGGAACTCTCTGCACTTCTAGGAACTGAAAAGCTTTCTGTAAGGCAAACGAAAGGTCCACTTCTTGTTGTGAGGTTAAATTACTCCCCGAGCACTTAGAAGTTTCAGGTGCATTTCCAAATCCGCCTGTGAGTTCTTTTAGCATTATTTTTTAGATTAGATCTCTTCTAGAAGTGAAATAAATCAGTGGGCTAATGGAGCAATTGTTCCCCCTCTTTGAATGTTGCCACATTACCCCGTGGCCTGGAGGTTTGTCTGCAGGGGAAGGTGTTACTTGAGGAAGTTTTGCCAATCACTTTAGCCAAGCCACGTTAATTTCCTCCCAAAGCAGTTTGTTAACAAACCTAGAATTGAAGCAAGATGAAAACAGCAAAAGAGACACACCAGAGGGATCAGAAAATAAACGGTCTGCTGTTTATTGTGGGTCTAAATGGCTGCAGAGAGATGACTTCTCTAAAATTCAAAATGCCCACTGCATAAGACTTTATATTGTTCCACAGGAAGGATGTTTTACCACTGGATCAAGACACTTCTGTGTGCTGTAAAAAAAAAGTTTTAAATTATGTAAGCTTACAATAAACAGCATAAGGAAAAAAAGGAAGACCATTTTCTTTCCAGTGTATCTTTTTTTAACTCTTCCAATATTTCTCTGGTGAAACACTTTTTTTTCCCTCTAATTTTTTGAGCTCTGGTTTAAAGTTCATGTTAGTTTAGGATGGGAAGAGGGGAAACATAAATGAAGCAGGAATTCATTCATTTGGGATACCCAGAATGGAGCTATCTGTGTAGACTATGATTAATAAAGTGATTCTGTAGACAAAGGTATGATCTGCAGTTTGTAAAAGCTCCCGAGGGGATTGTTGCATTCTCTAGATTTATTAACCTTAAGAAATCTCTCCTACCTCAAAGGGGCACAGGAAAATTGTCATTTAAACTACTTCCAAGGTGAAATAATGTTAGGCTTTCCAAGAGTGTAGCTCAAGTAACATTTAAGATTCTCCTAATTATATCACACTGTCCTTAACACAAAGCTTGCCAGGCCTACAGGAGGAACTGTTGAACGGCTGGAGGGACACCCTGCCAGGGTGAGAGCAATGAATTCAGTTCCTGTATTCCCCATGCTGCTTCTTTTTTCCTTGTGGCAACGCTCCAAGGGAAAAGGGAGACTTGATGTTCTGCCTGTCCCTCTCGGCCTCCTCGTCCTCGTCGTATCTTTCATCCTCATCTTCATCTTCGGCCTCGCTGTGGTGGGGGCTGGAATGCTGAGAGACAGAAGGTGATGGTGGCACTGAGGAGGGCCTGGGGTACCTGAAACCTTCCGTCTGGAAGAGAGAGACATGAGTTGGATGTGTTAGCACAGTGTTCCCCAATCGGTTGTACACAGAATTTTAAGTCAGAATATGCTCGCTGAAATTCAAGACTTCAGTTTGAAATTTCCAAACAGTTTTCCGGTTGTAATATCAGTATCTGCAAAACCAGAACCAACCAAGGGTTTTAGGTTTGAGCCTCCTTTCTGCTACTTATTTAAAATAAAAAAAAAAAATTAAGTTGCTCTCTGGAGGTTTGGTTTCAAATAAAATCATTCTTACAGTGGTTCTGAGCAGCCTCCCTTCTCAGACTGGTGCTAACACATACTAGGCAAGAACTGCTTGAAGGTCTGCCTTTAAACTGACCCCTTGCAGTTCCAGACAACATAACCATGTTTAGATGAAGGCAATACTTTGCCTCGGTTTCCCTAGAACATCCTTTCCCAGCTCCTTTTCTGTTTGGTTCGTGCAGAACATCTCCATGACGTTTATCAGAAGCACCATTAGAAGCTGCCACTCTTTTAAGAGGAATTTCAAAGGCCAGCTCCTCAGCTGGTCCAAAGTGTCATAGTCCCATCCAGGGCACTCTAAATCATCTGAAGAGTTGCTCCTTTATCACTCCTGACTGGTGACTGGGTCTATAACTTGTTAATATTTTAACTTTGAGTTCCTATTTCCCTCCAGTTAACTCAAAACTTGCCGATTCTCTTCTCCCTCTTTCTGCCAAACACATACACACACCCACACCCATCTTCTCTCTCTCTCTCTCTCTCCTTGTAAAGCAGTTAAAATGAACTCAAAAGCAGACTTTACCTTTGGTGGAGCACTTGGTTCCATCTCAAATTTGTCTGGGAATGTTCTGCTGAGGGCCAGGTGTCGGGCGTGCATGTAGTACTGCAAGGTAAAAGAGAAGCCTTTACAAGTCAAGGAAGCCTTGGGTAGATTCAAGTAGGGGGACAAAGGAACAAAAAATTAGAGTCTTCTAAAAGATGATGCTGAACAAAGTCTAGACATCTTTTCAGCTAAGCTGAGTCCAGCTGATACTGCTGCCTGTAATGAAGACATTGTTGTGAAGGAGCAATCCATCCATGGTAGATTCACAGCAAAGAAGTCTGGAACAGAAGCTGTGAGAATAAGATGAATTAAGATGGAAACTAGGACTTGCCTTGGCCAATGTAGTTCTTACTGAGGTATTCTTTACCCCTTAAGATAGAATGGGCTCTTTTTTAACCAGGAAGATTGACACCTGTAGGTGTACACATGTATACACATAAACTTCAGACTCATCCTTGCATAGGAAGCACGTGGAACAGTTACAGAAAAAATAGTATTTATCAGTTTACTGATGCCTGGCTTTTAAGAATTTGGCAAAATTATTTATGGATCCACCATACTCCTGAGTTTGCAGCACATGCACAGAATAAATAGCTTGCTGTATCAGGGCCTTATGCTGTGGGGAACCATATAAACACTAAGGTTCTCACACACAGGTATCAGAGCAGGAAAAGGTCCAAAAGAGTTACAAAACTAAGATAGAAGTGCATCCACTTCTTTACTCCTTTGGCCTTGAGAATACTGCTTTGCTGCTGTCTTCTTAGCAGGTAGTCCTGCAGTGCTTTCTCTGTCAAATTAAAAACACTACTTTGCCTTTTAAGGCACAGAGGTAGTTTAGTAGCATTGAGGAGCCACAGGGGCCAGAAACATCTTATGAAGAACGGGTAGGATTTTGGAAAGTGTCCAGGTAGCTTTGGAGCACAGTTCCTACTCAGTGGATGTGCTGCCAGTGTCACCAGATTTTTACATTGTCCTTAGCACCAGAAGAGCTCAGGGTGACTGGCTGCTGCTCTAACCTGTTCAGTCAAGTCACATCTCTCCTT